TTTGCCTAAGATAACAAAATAACCCAACTTAAAATTTAGCACAATGAAACTCTAGAATATTAGTTAATCACCAATATCAAAATAAATATTCTAAAGCAATTAGTATAAGAATATTTCTTTTTGCTTTTGTTAAAATTGAGTGCACCGCAACATGCATGGTGATAACCCCTTTTAATAGCTCACCAAATGATACTTCGCATTGGTCAACTATCTTGTTGTTATCCAAACTTTTCTCAATTTATTAGTTTAATATCATTGGCTAACTTAGGTGCAATTATTTTGTTTAAGACATATCAAAATATTTAGATCCAATGTTAGTAAAAAGAAACATGCAATAATAAATCGATATAAAATATCAAATTATTCAAAATTATCTAAAATTTTTCAGCATAAATTTATTTTATTTTTTTTATTTTAGTTTTTGTGCACTGTGAATTTTTTTTGGACAAAAATCTTTCTTTAGTCAAATTTATATATAGGAATATGAACAAAAGGACTATAAATAATCAAAAAAAAAAAGAAGCTTTTAATGACAAAAAGTGGAGAATAATGATATATTTTGATTATTTTGGTTAATTATCCAAATAATTTTAAATAACCAAAATTATAATCGAATTAAAAATTTGGTTCAAATTGGGTATAGAAGTCTTATCCAAAATAATTTTGGATAACAAAAAATTCAATTCAGTTTGGATAATCCAAATCAAAAGCTTAGTTCTACTTGTTTGATTCTATACGATTATTATAACGTATAAATTAATAGATTTTTTATGATTTTTCTTATTGTATTATTTATAAAGAATAAATTTGATGAACGGAATTAAAAAATAAATTCATTAATCAGTATATGATAGTTTATTTCAAGAATTATTTTTTTAATTTTTTTTATATAATTAAGGTATTTCAAAATCAATTTTTTTACACTTTCAAATTAATCCTTTGGTAAACAATCCTAAAGGTGTAACTTCTACAATGATAAAAATAAATTGTATATATATTATTTTCATAAGTCTAGAGGTTTATTTAGGTTGGTGACATAGTGGATGACATATAACTTGTGGGATTTATAATTGAAATTCATCAAAAAAATAATAATTAATTAATGAGCAGAGGTTTGACGGCAAATAGTTAGTAATGGTGTTATGAAAATTGAAAGTAAAGGGAGCAAAATAGTATGTTTTGAAAGAATAGAGGGAGGTCTTTAAACGATTTCAAAGTATAGGGAGGACAATAAATGAAAAAGCAAATGGAGGGATTATAGTTGGCTTTAACCATAAATTAATAAATGGGTGGAGGTTGGATGACAAATAGAAACGGTGTTGGTGTTATTAACGGGGTCAATAACGGTGTTAGTAACTGCGGTTAAGTGAGGGAAGTAACTAACATGAAAGTTGAAAGTAGAGGGAGGTCTTTAAACGATTTCAAAGTACATGGAGGAAAATGAACGAAAAAGGAAAGTAGAGGGACTATAGTAGGCTTTAACCCTATTGTTAATGTGATATTTTCGGTCAATCTCATTAATCATGTCAGCTCACTTAACAGTAAAAAAATATTAACATAATATGTTATGATTGGTTAGAAATACCTGCTAAGTTTCAAAATACAATCGAAATTTTCCATTGAATGGCCCCAAGCTTTCTTTTTTAATTAATGACTTATAGATTTTTTTTAAATTTTCAATCATATAATAAAATGTAATTTTATCTTATTTTTATATTATCTTATATATATTATGTAATTTAAATTTAAGATTTAAAATTTGGTTAGAAATACCTGCTAAGTTTCAAAATACA